TATTGATAGCATATAGAAATGGTAGCATTTTAGCTATATTGGGTTAAATAAAATAAATTGCTAAATTTAATCACCTGTTTCTTTTTGTGTTTTTAAAATGTGGCCACCAGAAAACCTAAAATTGCATATGTGGCTCTCATTATGTAGCTCATGAACAGGGCTGACCTAGAGGGCACTTAATGACTTACTGGGTATGTGGGATATAAGAGGAAGGAGGGATGGCTCTCTTGAGGCAGTTGAGGGAAAAACAGGTGCATTATGTTATGCTCTGATGTAAAGAATTTCTTTTTTTTTTTTTTTTTTTTCCTTTTTTTGTCTTTTTTCGTGTCCGGCAACGGATCGCAACCCTCAGTGTCGCGCCCGTACCGGACCGGGACCAGCAACGGGATCGCAAACCTCAGCGCTGCGTCCACACCTCGCTCAGCCAGTGAGCGGGAACCGGTCTGTATGTGGGATCCGTGCCCTCGGCGGGAGCGCCGCCGCACTCCCAAACGGCGCACTGCTACAGTGCGCCACCGGGCCGGCCCCATGATGTAAAGAATTTCAAGTCCAATCAGGGTAACATTCACATGGAGCTGCCCAGGGTGAAGACACGTCAACAGATCTAGAGCTGGAGGTTGAGGTCTGGCATACAAAAATGACAGGTCACTCTCCCTCCTCAGCTTCTTTCCAAGTTTTGAAAAATTCTTGTTAACCATCATAAATACTGACATGAAAATATCTGGATGGAGAGAACCATTTTTCATTTCCTGACTCCCAGAGGTAGTTATTTTTCCAGCTGTTGAGCTATTTTATTTGAAAAGTCTCCAGAGCTTAGTTGTGGAGGAAATTGGGACTGTGAACCCGTATAGAACCTGAGATTGTGAACTTTTCTTACAGAAAATCCTTGCGTTTTACATCTAAGACAGTCAAAGAGAAGGCTTGTGTTTATTTGCTTTTTCCAGTCCTTCTCAACCTGCCTCTTTAAAAGGGCAAATCAGTCTCTGCAGGATTGATACTTGAAATCTTCAAGACCTTAGTGAAGGTTACTTTTTAAAATTTCTTCAGTGCCAGGAGAAGAGGGTCCCCAGTGCCTTCCTTTTGTCTGTCCTTTTTACCCCATTTTCTCACAGTCCACTGTTGCAGTCTTTCTTGGGGCCCTCACTCCATCCCCACATGCTCTTTTATGAAAGATACGATTGGGCCAGCCCGTGGCTCACTCGGTAGAGTGCGGTGCTGATAACACCAAGGCCAAGGGTTCGGACCCTATATAGGGATGGCCGGTTTGCTCACTGGCTGAGCGTGGTGCTGACAACACCAAGCCAAGGGTTGAGATCCCCTTACCGGTCATCTTTTTAAAAAAAAAAAAAAAATGAAAGATACGATTGTCCCATACTTCACAGAGAAATCTGTGCACTCACTACATGCTATTTCCCCAATTCCCCTCATACAAATTTAAATGAATCTTTCAAAGGATGTCCTCCAGACTGGATTGCCCACAGGCTCAATGTTTGGACCTCTTTCCCTAGAAGATCTTTTCCTGTTTCATGAATTTAAATTTTGTATATATGGTGCTGACTTACAAATTTATATCTGTAGGGGTTGGCCTGTGGCTCACTTGGGAGAGTGCGGTGCTGATAACACCAAGGTCATGGGTTCGGATCCCACATAGGGATGGCTGGTTTGCTCACTGGGTGAGCATGCTGCTGACACCACCAAATCAAGGGTTAAGATCCCCTTACCAGTCATGTTTAAAAAACAAACAACAACAACAACCAAAAAAAACCGAAATTTATATCTGTAGCTGAGACCTCTTATCTGAATTCCAGATTTATATATCCAGTTGTTACTCATTACCTCCATTAGGACATCTGATGAAGTTTGGATGTGTTGTCCTCTCCAAAACTCACGTGGAAATTTGATCTCCAGTGTGGCAGTGTTGGAAACTGATTGAGTCATGGGGGAGGATCCCTCATGAATGGATTCATGCTCTCCCTGGGGGAGGGGATTAATGAATGAGTTCTCGCTCTATTAGTTCCCGTGAGAGCTCGTTGCTTAAAAAAGACCCTGGCACCTTCTCTCTCTCTCTTGCTTCCTGTCGCCATGTGATCTGTTTGTACCTACTGGCTGCCTGCCACTTTCCGTCATGAGTAGAGGCAGCCTGAGGCCCATGCCAGATGCAGCTGTCCCAGAATCATAAGCCAAATAAGCCTCTTTTCCTTATAAATTACCCAGTTTCAGGTATTCTATTATAGCAACACAAAATGGACTAAAACAGACATCTAATAATAATCTCCTGTATTATTGCTTAAAACTGACCTGCCCAAACAACCTGCCCATAGTCCTCCCAGTCTGAGTGAAAGGCCACTCTTCTGCCAGGTGCTCAGACCACCTTGAAAACCTGAAACCATCCCTGACTCCTCGCTTTCTCTTACACCCCACATCCAGCTCAACAACAAACTGACAAACCCAAATAACTCTACCATCAAAATGTATCCTAAATATGACCGATTCTCCCACCATCATTACCATCCTGATTTAACCAACTGTTCTTACTCACCTGGATTTCCACAGAAGTCTCCTCACTGACTGCTTTTCTTACCCACCTATGGGCCAACTGCCAGATTAAGCTGGAGTGAAGTGTTATAAACTCAAGCCATACATGTCATCACTATGCTCAAAACCTTGCAATGGCTTCCTATCTCTCATAAAACCAAAACCAAAGTTTTACAGTGACCTGAAAAGCCCTATATGATCCGGGTTCCCATTACCTCTCTGACCACTGGCCTTCTTGCTATTTTAAAATGCCAGGCACCTAATAAATAATAAATAATAATAATAAATAATAATAAAGAAGCCTTTGCTCTTGTTCCCTGTGCTGGGATATTCTCCCAGCAGACATCCGTATAGACTTGCACCGTGACCTTCCTTAGGGGGCTGATCATATTTCACCTTACTAGGGTCATCATGTGTACACAGCCTTTCTTGGTCACCATATGAAATATAGTATGCACTCCCCACCCACCCTGTCACAACACATGTAATATCCTTCTTACTTTTCTTATTGTTCACCATATCATGAATCAGACCCTTTCATCTATGTATTTTATTTCTGTATTTTTTTCCTGTTTGTTTTCACTAGAATGTTCCTTGTGGGCAAGGACTTAGTTTGGTTTTGTACATTGCCCTAACACCCATGACTAGAATAGTGCAAATGCTATTTTTTTTTTTTTGTAGAATAAATTAATGGAAAAGTTCTACTTCTCTTGATCAAAGCTATTTCCTCTGCCTCCTCTTCTCTTAGTAACTCTAGAAACTGGTCCTACCATTTATCCCTCCATTTCTCCAGAATCTTAACTTTTTTCTTCTCTTCAATGACTTCCCTGTTTCAGGCTATAAACATGTTCTAGTCCTCGACATATTATTAAAACAATGTTTCCCTTCAAATCTGCACCCTCTCTTTATTTCCCCCTTCCATGCCATGCAGCCAAGTCTCATTTTGGTGGAAGTCTATACACCTTTCTCAACATTTTCTTGTCTATACTCTTCAATATACTATTTCTGTCCCCAACATTCAACTAAACCAGTTGTTACTAAGATTGTTAATTATCTTCTAATTTGTGATTAATGCTCAGCTTAATCCTCAGTAAAATGTGGTGTTGTAAGAAGTATGTGAGATAATACTTGGCTCAGTAGGAGGCACACAGCAAATACTCAATATTTGTTGATTTTCCCTATAATATCTGTCTCTTCCCTCTTTCCTATCAATTCCCACCACTTTCTTACTTCCTGTCCTCATTCAGTCTAGATAGGCAAATGCAGTAGATTCCCAAATGGTCTCCTTCTCACCATCAGACTCGACCAGAATCTATCCTCCTTCCTAAGTCAAAATGATCTTTCTCGATCATGTGACTTGCTACTTAAGCCCATTCATTAGTTTCCTTTATCTGTAAAAGTTCCCCACCTTGCAGCTTCACTCCCCACAACTGAAGCACGTGTGGTAAAAGGATGATTTGAGTAAAGTGGGAAAAGCACAGGAGAACAACTCTGACTAGTCAGTTTTTCCGAGGATGGATTCAGTGGGCACGAACCAGAAGATGGTGCACAGTCACTGCATGTGTTTTATCAAACTCTAGTATTGGAGCTGAGGCCTCAGGAATTGGAAGTACAAAGGAGAAAGGCTGTATTTTCAGAGAATGGTTAGGAATTAAAACTCACCTACAGGATTTAAAACTTACCTCTAGATTCTTCCTGGGCAAATAAAAACATAAGAATTGGATTTAGGATAACACAACTTTTCAAATTCTGATATCTTCATTTTCTTTAGACAACTTTTATAAATATGGTCATATTTTTTGGTGAACTACAGGTGCTTTTCGGTGGTAATTAAGGAGTGCAGGACCCCCCCCCTTTTTTTTTTTTTTTTTTTTTTAAAAAGATGACCGGTAAGGGGATCTTAACCCTCGGCTTGGTGTTGTCAGCACCACACTCAGCCAGTGAGCGAACCGGCCATCCCTATATGGGATCCGAACCCGTGGCCTTGGTGTTATCAGCACCGCACTCTACCGAGTGAGCCACAGGCCAGCCCAGGAACCCCTTTTTTGTGAAAAAATTTAACATCTGTATAATTAGAACAACCATAGAGAAAATTCTTAGCATAATCATCAGCTATAGTATGGGGCCTATAAGTGTTTTTCTCTCTGGTTAGCTTTTCCCCAGCAGAATAAACCTTAAGTCACCTCATGTCACTTTGTATGGCTATTGTGAGGTGATTACATGATGGATTCTCACTTTGTCACTGCAGGTGCTACTTGGGTCACACACATGAAATATATAATTTGCCTGTGATCTTTTTGTTACTAAACCTGAGTCCAGCTGCCCCAGACAAAAACCCTGGGTTGGCTTAGCAAAATCTGCTACCCTAGGGTATTCAGCTCCTGGCTGAGGCTTACCAAAATCTTGTTACTGACCTCAAATCTGGCTGCCTGCCCCAGACAAAAACAAATGACCCAAAAGTCCAATGTTGGTGAAAGGTAGTCAGCTTTATTCAGGACAGGTAAACTGCTAACCTGAAGGAGATGTTAGGCTAACCCATTTCCCTGGTAATCGTGAAGGAGATGGCCAAACTAAAACCATCTCAAAGACTCAGACTTACTGAGGGGGTTTTAAAGAGGGGATTGAGGAAATGGAATGTGGGAAATAAAAAGCAGGAGGGAGGGTGATGTATAAGGATCCAGGTGCAAAATCTCACAGAGGTTTCATCTGTCTTCTATTCTCCTCCTTGATGTTATCTTAAGGTCTTGAAGGATTCTTGTTTGTTTCAGGGTGGAATCAGCATAGCTTTATTGATGTCTTCCTTGGTTTGTCAGGGTCTAGATAGTTCATGTCTCATGGCAACTCTGTAGCTCCACGCTGACTGAAAAACAGCTTTACATTTATGTAAATAATGTCATCTTGCCCCATAACCAAAGTTCAAAATATCAAATAACCATTGAAAAAGAGGGAACTCAGAGAAATGCATGCTAAGAAAAAAATGGTGTCCTTTTTTTCTTTTTCTTTTCTAAAGCCCATGCAGATACCATCGTCGCTTCAGTCCTGCTCACTCCAACATTTTCAGGTAAGGCTTTCTCATGATATTGCTATCTACCTCCCTGAAATCTCTTATTAGCTGAATGCTTTCTGTAGCAGATGATTGTGTGCTCAATGAAATATCCCCTCAGTCTCTGATTTCAGCCACAGCTGAGGTGGACAATTCCATGTTCACTGGCAGCTTCCCATCTCAAGGACTTATCACCTATTTTCTTTTCTGCCTTAGCTTTTCTCTTCAGACACAGATGATCACACATGGACCCAGAAGTGTTTAGGGAAGGTGCTGACATAAAAGAGAAGTTTCGTGAGTTTTTAAACAAGTATTAAGGGTAACTTAAAGTGACTCGCCTTTCATAGCAAACATCTGATTTCCATCTAGTAAGGAAATCAAAGGGATTTTTAAATAAAAAGAACAACAAAATTATATAATAATATACAAATATATAATGTATATAAATATGTAATGTTTATAAATATATAATATTCATAATATCATGTGATATGCATATTATATATTAATTATTCAATATATATAACACATATAAAATGCAAAATAATTGGTATTAGTCAGGGTTCCAGCAGGCAAAACATGGGGGTCAAAACAGGGATCTTCAGAAGGCAGACACTTAGACAAGAGTACACTGGAGTCAATGGGAAGTGACACTTATGAAAGGAAAACAGAGAGGACTGGCCCATAGCTCGCTTGGGAGAGTGTGGTGCTGGTAACACCAAGGCCACAGGTTCGGATCCCTATATAGGGATGGTGCTGACAACACCAAGTCAAGGGTTAAGATCCCCTTACCAGTCATCTTAAAAAAATAAATAAAAATGAAAGGAAAACAGAGGACTCAAGTGTGGTTAAGGCAGATCTGATAAAATCTCTGCCTACCCAACGGTAAGCTGTGTGACAAAGACTGCTTATTAGATGAGTTCCAAATGTGTGGGAAATGACCAGGCTCTTGACCACTAGCCTGCTCAGTCACTGGCTGGGAGATGCTTTAAGAAAGTGATGGCTAGGTTGAAAGCATAGGTGGACCCTGATGAAGCTCACCACTGGAGGATTTTGGATAACCACACTCCTCACAGTCGGGCAGTGAGTTCTTTCTTGAAGAGAGACCTCTGTGTCAGCCAAGGGATGATTTAAGAAAGTTTAATAAAGAAACTATTTTCAAAGTTGTGAGCAGGGTTATGGGAAAAAACAGTGAAGGACGCTGGGCCTAGCAATAGCCATTATTCCCCCATATTTAGAAGAGGCAAGAGAAGGGCAAACTCCAAAGAGAGCAGTAAGTATAGGAGAGAGCTGTCCAATGGGAGCTGTGGCTTTCATTAGAGAAATGCAGCCACTGCCTACTTTTTGTAGGGAAGGAGCCAGGCAAAATAAATAATTTGTTCTCATTTTCCTTCCACCCCCAGATTTCCTGCTGATGCCTCCCATCAGCCAACAAGAAGCCAGAGGGTAAAGAAACTTGGCTGATATAATGCAGAGGTCAGCCTTCTAGGACACAGAGCAGGTTGCAAAAGGCAGAGGATGAATCTGAGGGGCAAATAAAGATGCTCCAGCAGGGCGGGTAAGGTAGTGGCAGTGAAGGTGGGATAAAAAGGTAGCTCAGAGATTGTGAGTCAGTTCTGAGACTTGTTCTCAACTAGTCTGGATAATATAATCTCAACAGAGTGTGGTCCATTTATCATTTTTGACAGCTGAACTTTTTCTAGAATTGAAATTATTAGACCTAATAAATAAACAAAAAAAATTCACACCTAGATATTGAAATGGAATTGCATGATATATACATTTTTTATTTTTATTTCTAATTTTTTTAGAGATGACCAATAAAGGGATCTTAACCTTTGACTTGGTGTTGTCAGCACCACGCTCTCCCAAGTGAGCTAACTGGCCATCCCTATAGAGAGATCCAAACCCATGGCCTTGATGTTGTTAGCACCACACTCTCCCAAGTGAGCCACGGGCCGGCCTTAATATATACATTTTTAAAAATAAAGCAAATCTTAAAAGCTACCAGAGAGAAAACAAAGATAGTATACAGTGGAAAGTCAATTAAAATGGCAATAGTAACTTTAATAGTATCTTGAATGCTGAGAGAAAATACTTTCAACTCTGAGTTTTACGACAGCAAAATCAGCATTCAAAAGCAAGGAAGATTAATGGTCAGCAGACGACAACAACAACAACAAAACAAACAAGCTAAAAAAAAAAAAAGCAAGAAAGAGATAAAGGCGCTTTCAAATACATAAATATATAAATTATCCAGAGATTTTTCATCTCACAAATTCTCATCCAAAAAAAAAAAAAGGCCATTTCAACAAGAAGAAAACTGAATCCACAGAACAGTATTAAAGGCAAGAAGAAGGGACGAAGGGACGGCAAAGAAATTAGTAAAATAAATAAATATGTTTCTAAACATTAATGTAGATAAGACATCTACACCCTTATTTGTATTGATAAACATTTTAAAATGGCCTTTTCCTACCACCAATAACCTTTTATATGTATGAGGGTACCTCAAAAAGTTCATGGTAGGATTCACCTTTTCTTTTTTTTTATTTGGCAACTAGCCAGTAAGGGGACCCAAACCCTTGTTCTTGGTAGTGCCTGGCACATAGCACCTTCTCATAAATATGTGACGGATGGCAGAATATTCCAGTCCAAAATATGCCATTTTGGCATAAGGATTATTTTGAGCTAAAGGGGTTTAAAAATAAATAAAAAACAGCAGATACAAGAAGGGTGTTCCAACCTCCCCTTTTCTTCCTAAAAGAAGGAGCTAAAAATTCCAAATGCAACATGCTTTCTTTTTTTTTTTTTTTTTTGTAAAAGATGACCGGTAAGGGGATCTTAACCCTTGACTTGGTGTTGTCAGCACCAAGCTCATCCAGTGAGCAAACCGGCCATCCCTATATGGGATCCGAACCCTTGGCCTTGGTGTTATCAGCACCACACTCTCCCAAGGGAGCCATGGGCCGGCCCCTAAACCTATAAAATATTAAACACATTTGGTTTTATTTTAATGTAATCTGAAATTACTGAAATAAATTAATTATAGCAATATATGTTAGATACCATAAAATTGCCTGTCCTGGCAGAACTACTGAAACCTAATTGCTATTCTTCTGAAGCAGTGATCATTCGATGATTAGCTAAAGGGTGTTACGTGGACCACAGGACTATTAGTTTAAAAACAAAATTGACTAGTATGCTTATAAATAAGCAGATTCCTCTAATAGACTTTCCCCCCATAAAAATTCTTTCCAGATCCAAGATCAGTGATTTTTTTTTTTTTTTTTTGCAGGCTTACATTAAATGGAACTTCAAAATAATGGTGGATATTAACTAAAACGTAATGTAGTCTAAAGTATTTTGTTATATGATTGTGGTCTCAGGGAAGTTTTGTAAGTTTTCTTTTGCCTTTCTTAGAAAAGCATATGTCAGTTCTGGAATGAGTATTATATTTTATCTTTTTATGATGTTTACTTTTTTTGATTAAAGCAAAAAATAAAATAAAATAAAAAGTAATAAAATGTGCCTTAGAGAGTACACCTCTTGAGTATGAAAACAAATCATGCATGGATTTAAAAAACAATATAAAAAATAAAGATGGGAGAAAATATGCCTGGGGAATGTTTACCAAGAGAGTGCAAGTATGGCAATATTAATAACAAACAAAATAGAATTTGAAGCTAAAAATATTAGAGACAGAGGACACTGTAAGGACTTTTAGTTCAACGTGGAAATTGAGATATTCTGGAAAGCCCTCCTGAAGCAAAACAACTAAGGACTAAAGAAACTACAACACACTAGCACACAGTTGCCCAGCTAATAAAAAAAAAAAAAACAAGGACAATTCCCTGAAATCCCCCAGAACAATAAAAACCTGGGAGCTGAAACTAGGGTGATAAACATACCAGCTTGGGTTCTCTGATGCAAGTATCACTATCAAGATTATGAGCTTTGGGAATTAATGTCCACCCCTTAGGAAGAGACTTTTAGATTCTTAAACAAAACTAAAGACATCTAAGGTAACTTTGAAAAGGGTAGCCTATAGAAGAAAAAAGAAAAGAAAAGAAAAAAAATCTAGCAAAGTTTTCTAGGAATAAAACTTGTTCGTCTCTACAGGGCTCTGAGGAGGAAGGCAGAGGAAATCTGCCCCAAGGTTTTTACCCAAGGCATTAATATAGAGTCTGAGTTTTTCAATGAAAGCAGCCTGAAATGAAAGTGACGTAGGGTCATGGCTCCCCCTAGTGCCTTAGGAAGACAAACATAAACCCCTTCCGGAGGAAAGCATTTGGAACCCAAGTAGAGCTACACAGATGGTTTATTTATTAAGCAATTATTTATTGAGCACCTATTATGTGCCAGACACTCTATCAGGAACTTGAGATGTCCAAATATATGATTATAATAAATGTCACCAAATCAAAGAGAAAAATAAGACAATATGGAGAGTCAGGCTTCCAAGTCTTCAATGTACCACTCACTACCCCCCAAAGAATTTCAGATATTGAAGATATCAAACAGAAACTATAGCATAACTGTTTGCCAAAAGTTTAAAGAAATAAAAAATGGAATAATAAAACAATCAACAAGGGCAATCAAAACCAGGCACATTTGAAAAAGAACAAAACAGAAGTTCTAGAAATGAAAAAGAGCTATACCTCATAATGATGAAATAAAAATGCACTAAGATATAACATTCAAGACCTTGTATGTTCTCCTACCAGTCAGCCACCAAAGCAAGCAAACAAACAATAAAAAAAGACCTTGTATACACCTGACTACAGAACCACTAACTATGTAGGGCAATAACTGGCAGAATTAAAAGAATTTCAAATTTACAACTCTAGGGTAACCTTTCAATATACTACCCTTAGAAACTCATTTCACAAGCAAAAAAAAATCACTTATGAGGGCCGGCCCGGTGGCGCACTGCTGTAGTGCGCCACTTGGGAAGCGCGGCGGCGCTCCCACCGAGGGTTCGGATCCCACATACAGACCGGTTCCCACTCACTGGCTGAGCGAGGTGCGGGAGCAGCACCGAGGGTTGCGATCCCGTTGCCGGTCCCCGGTCCTGTACGGGGGCAACACTGAGGGTTGCGATCCGTTGCCGGACACAGAAAAAGACAAAAAAAAAAAAAATCACTTATGGTTATAGAAGATTTATATAACACAATGAACAAACTTTATCTATGATTCCTGCATTTAACACATGGAGAAAATCCAACTTTTTTCAAAGCGCACATTGAGCAGTTTCAAAAATTCAACACCAACTTTTAAAAAAGTCACAATAGATACCAAAGAATCAATTTTATACACATAGGACTCTTTTATCAAAATCTAATTAAAGAGCACTAGAAAGCTTTTTTTTTTTTTTTTTAAAGTAAAAATAAAGCAGTCTCCCCATATGCTTAGAAACTAAAGATTATGCTCCTAAACACTATGGATTAGACAGGAAATCATAAGAGAAATTATGTAATATTCTGAAATAAACATGAATGAAAATAACATATGTGAAAATTGTAGAATGTACCTGAAGTGGTACTAAAAGGAAAATATATAATATTAAATACATATATTAAGAAACAAGAAATACTGAAAATATATAAACTTGGATTTCAACAAAAGAAGCTAAAAAAGAACAAAAGAATAAATCGAAATTAAGTAGAGAAATTTTTCTTTTTTTCCTTTTTGTCTTTTTTCGTGACTGGCAACAGATCACAACCCTCAGTGTCGCGCCCGTACCGGACCGGGACCGGCAATGGGATCGCAACCCTTGGTGTTGCCCCCGCACCTCACTCAGCCAGTGAGCGGCCAGTCTGTATGTGGGATACGAACCCTCGGCGGGAGCGCCGCCGCACTCCCAAGCGGCGCACTGTAGCAGTGCGCCACCGGGCCGGCCCGAAAGAGAAATTTTAAAAGAATAAAAATCAATTAAATAGAAAAACTGGAGATGATCCATAAATCAAAAGCTGTTCTTTGGGAAAAAAAGGAGAGAGAGAGAGAGAGAGAGAGAGAGAGAGACAGAGACAGAGAGACAGAGAGAGAGTGTGTGTGTGTGTGTGTGTGTGTGTGTGTGTGTGTGTGTGTGTGTGTGTGTGTGTGTGTTGGGGCAGGGGAGGGAAGAGTATATGGGAATACAGAAGAGAAAGTAACTACCAAAAGAAAGACATAAAGAACTATAAAAGAATGCTGTGGATAATTTTTACAAAAAATTGAATTTAGCGGAAAAGAATGATTCCTTTCTCCCCCGCCAAAATTAATAGACAAGTGGAATGAACAAATTATGATTAAGGAAATAGGATAGGCAGTTTTAAAAAAAACCTCTCCAATGCCTTTCAACACAAATGATGCCAAACATAGGTGGATTTTACAAGTCTTAGTGAATTTTAAGGAATTGATAATCCCTGTTTTACATAATGTTTCAATAATAAGAATAAAAATAGCTCTCTTACTCATTTTTTCTTTTGAAATTGTATAACCTTATTATCCAAGCTGAAGAAGAACAATACAAAAGAAAAAAGAAAAAGGAAGGAAGGAAGAAAGAGAGGAAGGAAGACAGGCAGGCAGGAAGGTACAAGAAAACGAAAATTATATTCTTTTCTCTTGTCAACATTCATTTTTTAAAAAGCCTTATTTGAAACCCAAGAAAATGAAAACCAAGAGACCATATTATTAAAAAAAAATATATAGTATGCATATAGGGTTTATTCCAAGAATAGAAGAAAAGTTTAGCATTATAAATCTGTCAGTGTAAGAGATTAGTAGAGAAAAACTATGTAGTTATCTGCATGGATGCTGAGAAAGCCTATTTGATTGTATATAATACTCTTTCATCATAAACATTTCAACAGACTAGAATGAGAAAAGAACATCATAAGAAGTAGATAGAGTGAGCATAACACTTATGGTGCAATTTTGGAAGGATTTCCACAGCATTGGAAGCAAGACCAGAGTGCTGTGGCATTACTCCTATTCTACAAGGCATCTCAGGACCTGGCCAATACCATGAAGCAAGGACAGGAGGTACAAGGGGTAAGGATTCAACAAGAAAAAAAACCCTTATTTTTATTATTTGAAAATAATATAATTGTCACTGTAAAAGTCTGCAAGAATCTGTAAACAATTAGATCTAATAAGAACTCAACAGAGTTGGCAGGTCTAAAGGTACCATATAAAAATTTACGGTCTTTCTATACCTCAGCAATTACCTATCTGAAATTGAGATAGAAAAGCCAGACATTCACAACAGTACAACAGATTTTAAGGATTCAAGATCCAATAATAAATATTCCACATCTATATGAATAAAATTATGAAACATTGAAGGACACAAAACAAGATCCACTTAAATAGACAAGTACAGTATATACTGTTCTATGTTTATGTCTTGTGATAGCTCGACATGCTAAAATGTTCATACATTTCAAAATAACCTAAAATTCAATGTTATGCCAAACAAACCCTGATGGATATTTGGTAGAGCACTATAAAATTCGTATCAATGAACAGAAATAGTCAACAAGATTCTCAAAAAGAAAAGAAAGAAGAAAGAGAGAGAGTGGTGGGCCTTGACTTAGTATATATGAAGACATATAAACCTACAGTAATTAAAACAGTGTGGCATTGGTCCAGGTGTAGACAGAAGGTAAGCAGAACAGAGTCAGGCATTTTTGCTGTTTCCTGGGAGCCTCTTTTCTGATATTTTGTAATTGCCTATAGATAACTATTCACTGGATGCTTTGAATCTTTGAGGCTCAACTTCTGTGTCTTTGTGTATAAAGGGGGAGAGTGTGAACATGTTAAAATATTTTTCTGATCCTAAGTTCAACTCACACTGTGGGCAGAAGGAACCTGGCTGACTCATCATGTTGGTGAGTACTTTCAATACAAAGAATGAGGTCTTTGTCCACATAGACGGTGTTGGGGGTGGAGAAATAAGGTAAGAGAAGCATCCCTGTAGATGGGTGACGTGGGTAGTAAAGAGGGTGTGCTATGTGTAAAATGGGGAGAGGAGTTCCTATGCAGCACTCTTGGGGGGTGGGAGGGCGGGGACAGAAGTCGTAATCTCACTGATTTTGTGAAAAGCAAGATTTTGTTTTTACCTGTTATTTAGATTATTTCCTTAAATATACCAAAAGATAATATCTTTAGTGTAACCTGCCTGGGTCCGAATGCTCTCTTCCATTTATTAAGTGTATGACATTGGGCAAATTATTTTAAGCTTCACTTAGTATACTCGTAGGTAAAATTGGGATAACGACAGTGCACAGGCGCGTTATTAGGATTAAATCAGTTAACATCTGCAAAGCACTCAGGAATATGTCTAGGTGTTTGCTTAAAAAGTTAAATAATAACTCTGAAGGGTCTAAGGGTTGTCAGCTACGTGCACCCATAGCTGCATTCTTTCTAGGGCCCTCGGCATTTTTGCCTTCGTGGGCCCCTTCCTCTATAACAATAGTAACAACATTAAGATTATGTAAAGATTAATATATATCTTAGAACGTTTTCTTCGACCTGAAAGTTCATTTTTTCTTCTAATTTTAGAAGAAATTAAAATAATTTCGTGAGCCTCTACAAGTACTGTGTGTCACAGGCACTGTGCCTACGGCGCCTGAAGGATGTCGGCCCTGCGAGCACTTGATGGTGGAATTTAAAAATATATACAGTTATTCGATTAGGAAATAGTAATTATCCACACACATACATATACACACTTACACTGAATACTCACACAAAGTGCTCAACAAACGTGAGAACAATAAAGGTGGTGCAAGCACGTTGTCCTTGGAGTTATAAGGAGTCTTCGGCCACTGGAGACAAGGGGAAGTGGCAGCTCCCCAAGAAGGAAGCAGAGACGCTGGCAGATTGAAGCCGGAATTTTCTTCCAGCTTTCTCTCTCCCCCTCTTCCTGTCGGTTTCGGCCGTCAGAAAGTCAGGAGAGGGGCAAAAACACTAAGAGAGTTGCTGCCCCGCTTTTCGGTCTTCAAACTTCTTGTCCCTCTGTTTTTATCTACAAATGAATCGTTCAGACTCTCCGGGCATCCGGTAGACGGCCAAAAAGAGGGCCCAGTTCTCGGGTTCTGGGAACCACCAGGGGGCAGCCGCGGGCAACCTCCCGCGCGCGGACGACGGGCTGACGTAAACGAACGCACTACCCTATGGGGGAGGCTGAGTGGCGTACTATGGCGCCGGCGTAACGTAAGGCTCTGTCGTCAGAGCGTGGAGGGCGTGGCAGGACGACCCTATGAGAAAGCAGGCGTGGGGGGGCGTGGCAGGATAGCCCTATGAGAGCGACGGCGGGGCGGGGCGGAGTGGGATGGTCCCATGAGGGAACCGGCGTGGGCGCGAGGCGGGCTCCTAGTTCATTTCCACCCCTGGGTAGCCGCACCGGGAGGTCGGTGTCTGCCATTTCTCAGGACTTCTCACCTGAAGTTTAAACCTTTGCGATTTTTTCGGTTGTGGCTATTTGGTAGCGTTTCAGGTCGATTTCACGTCTTTAAAACAAAGTTCAACAAATGTGGTCCCTGGACCAGCAAGCAGTAGGAATGCAAATTATCAGGTCCTACTGCAGATCTAATGAATCAAACTATGAAGGTGGCGCCTACCAATCTGTGTTTTTAAAAATTCTTCATGTTATTTTGGGACACACCTAAGTTTAAGACTATTTCAAAGTATGTGTTTCCCTTAATTTACATACAGGAGGTGACCTTTCAAATGTCAGCTTAGCTAAACTAAGCTGTTTACCTTCAGGATCATTACCAGAGCCAAAACAGTACTTAACGCTTTAGCCACTCAGATCTTGATGCAAAATTATGTGAAGGTATATAGTGTTAGGGTTAGATGGACAGATAGACGTCTGGAAAGGGGAGACCTTAGGAGAAAGATTTGAGTCAACAATGAATGCAGAATTCCAATGCTTTACAGATTTTATTAATGATAACATTTCATTTACAGACTTTGCCATCCTCTCATTCAGACTTATCCTTGCAAAGGTAGTCTATGGTAAATAGTGGATTCCCAGTAAGTAGGCCTGTAACAGAATTACATTCCGTTTTTATCACTCAAACAAAAAATAAAGTGAAAAAGCTAAAACAACTTGTTTAGTCTCTTCCACTCAGGTAATGATCTCCTTTTGATGAATCAATGTGCAGCAAAACAGGATGGGTTGGATTTGGATATACACACTAGTCAATCATTCTCAGGCAAATCAGTTTTCATGCTTCGTAACTGCTATGTACAGACTCATATTTTCAGTTACTTTATGAATTCATTTCTTCTCTGCATTCATCTCTATCCCTTGATTGAAGAAATAAAAAGGGTTTGTTAGATGCCATTTTGTCATCAGCATTAATATTTGCTATACAAAGAAAGAAAGTTCTTTTTACATGTGCTTGTATAATGTACTATCAGGAATCTCTGCTCCAGGGTTACCTACACTTTAGTCGTTATTTGCATTAACAGATAATGGCTCAAATCATACTTAGTCAAGAATAGCCCTGAATAATATGCTCATTGTCCCAAATCCCTGAAAACTATCCTTGGGTGGGATTCAAACAGTTTAGTTTTTGACCTGAAGAGATTTGGCCACCCTGATTTTCATTTTAACTCAGTGAAAAGGAAAACATAATAACTGCTAACAATTGCTAAGTGGTTGCTAAATGTTTATCATTCTTTTGAGCTTTACATGAATTATCTCACTTAATCCTTAAAAAAACTCTAAGAAGTGGTTTTTTTTTTCCCTTTTTTTTTTTTTTTTTTTTTTTAAAGACGGCCGAGAGCTGGCCCGTGGCTTACTTGGGAGAGTGTGGTGCTGATAACACAAAGGCCATGGGTTCAGATCCCTATATAGGGATGGCCCATTAGCTCACTTCAGAGAGCATGGTGCTGACAACGCCAAGTCAAGGGTTAAGATCCCCTTACCGGTCATCTTATAAAAAAATAAAAAAATAAAAAATAAAATAAAAAAGATGACCGGTAAGGGGATCTTAGCCCTTGACTTGGCGTTGTCAGCACTACGCTCTCCCAAGTAAACCACAGGCCAGCCCAATCTTGTCTTTACATATGAGAAAAGTGAGACCCATTTCTGAGTCACTCATTCAATTGATCCATTGTGACAGCTTAGTCCTGGTCTCTACCCCTGTTGTTATGGAATAATGTATACTTTAATTAATTATGTCATGGTGCAAGTACTTTTTGAGAGTCTACTGTATGTCCAAACAGCCTTAGGCATTAAGGAGTCAGCAGCAAAAAGACTAAGTCCTTGTCCTTATGGGCTTTAAAGTCTGGAGGGTGGAAAGGGGAGGCAAACAATAAACAAACAGATATATTTATGTTAATTAGAACTACTCATAATGAAGAATAATGAATAGAGCAAGTTAAGAATGGGAATAGATCCTTGTTAGTGTAGTGGTGAGGGGAAGAAAGAATGGGAATAGAATCACCAGAAGGTAGGACAGAAGCATGTAATAGATTTGCCCTCAGAGCCTCCAAAAAGAACCAACTCTGTTGGCTTCCAGAACTGTGAGACAATAAATTTCTGTTGTTTAAAAAAAATATTTAAAAAGAGTGTGAACAGAAGAGTGCCATTTTACATCTTCTTGTCAGAGAAAGCCTCCCAGTTTTTTGTTTTGTTGATATTTTAATCAGTTCACTCAACCCAAAACCCAAGAAATGTGTGAAGTATTTCAATTATTATGCAACAGGTATTATACCCAGCTGAGACAGCAAATATACGAGAAAGTCTGTCTACCCATCTCCCTTTTTTTTCTCTCTCTCTGCCTTACTCGTCCCACATTCTCCTGTACAACTTCTTTTTGGACTCTAAGCTCTTTCCTTCTCTTTTATAGTAGCAGTTTGCTTCTTCCATTCCTTTTCTGAGTCCTTCTCAACTTCTCTCACCTTTTTTTTTCCCCAACGCTTCTCCCTCTTTCCTAAAAAATAACCACAATTTGGCTGTGATATTTATAAAATATTGTTTTGTATTTATGAAGTACAGATTAACATTTATTGTCCAACTGTTAAACAAAATTCTAAAACACAATATCTCTGCTTTTCTACAACTTCCATTCACTGTCCATGCTAACAAATTTCATGATTTATGGAAGGAAGAACCACTCAAGTTCCGCTGCTTATGTGAAGAAAAGGAGGTCTTTTAATTCTGTTTAACACTGAATGCTCATGCTACCAAAATAAGATTCGAGAACTCCAAACTTTCCCTTAAGTTGATCTCTGCTTCTCCTGAATCTTCTTTTTCTACAGCCAGGATTTAGAGGGGAGTCGGAAGCGTAAATCAAGGTTGTTCATCTGAATAAAGTAAAAAAATCAATGAGAAATCACCTTACAATTTCTGGATCAATCTAAATATCCAAAACAAAGTGACAGATCATAATAACCAAATACTTGTAGAACTCACATTATGGTCAATAATAGATATTTAATTAAAAATTGCAAAATTATAGTTTTTCTTATGACTAAGTGTGTAGTAAAGAATTAACCTTACTCAAATAGCAGTCTAATCTTTGCCTTTTGTCTAGGAGCTGATCTCTAGGCCCTTGGAATATCGTGGCTTATAAAAGCATTTTTTTTTCCCAGGGAGCCTTGAGCTATGCCAGAAAGTTTAACAATGTAATATATGTTGTGGGCTTCAGGTCATGTCATATCTGCTCTATCTCTGAAGATCAGCCATATGAGCGGTCAATCATGTCTACGTGATTAAGGCCCAGTAAAGAGTCTGGACACCAAGGCTTGTGTGAGTTTTCCTGGCTGTCAATACTCCACATCTATTGCATAGTCATACATCACTGCCAGAAGGTATCAACATGTTTGCAACCCTGCTAGATTCTGCTCCAGTTGTCTCTTCCCATAGCTGATGTTAATACGTATCCCTTTGCTGTAATAAACTGTAACTTTGAGTATAATAGCTTTTAGTGAGTTCTGTGAGTCCTTCTCAAATATGTGAGTAGTTCTGAAGACCCACTGAACTCTACAGTTGAAAACAGATGTAAGGACAGTCTTATGGACAACTGCTCCTTAATTTCTCAGTATGTCACAATGATATTAATACTCCCATATTTTATTACTCAAAGATTGGGACGAATATTTTTGCCTTAATTTAATGAGTTTGGTAGTCCTCATCTAAGCCCAAGTCCATTCACTCCCCTGCAGATTTCCAAAGTATAAGAAACTTTTTTAGGCCTTAGCGAAAGGCAAAGGAAAATGAAAGTAAGTCGTTGTAAGCCTCTTTGACTAAGGGCTCAGGAAGTCAAGGACCACCTTATCTCTTTGTATCTCTAGTGCTCAAGACAGTGACTAGCTCAAAGATATTCAGTGACTATCTCTTGGATAGAGATTTAAAAATAAACACTCTGAAGAATAACCATGCTAAAATTTACTAGGAAATTTTGACATACTTCAATTATCCTTCATGACTAAATTATTCTACTTGATTTCTTCTCCTTTTATCTCCCTCTGTTAACTCTTTTTTTTTTTTTTTTAAAGATGACCAGTAAGGGGATCTTAACCCTTGACTTGGTGTTGTCAGCACCACACTCAGCCAGTGAGCAAACCGGCCATCCCTATATGGGATCCGAACCTGGGGCCTTGGTGTTATCAGCACCACACTCTACCGAGCACCACACTCAGCCAGTGAGCAAACCGGCCATCCCTATGTGGGATCCGAACCCGGGGCCTTGGTGTTACCACCACTGCACTCTCCTGAGTGAGCCACGGGCCGGCCCTCCCTCTGTTAACTCTTAATCTGATACCTTATACTTTAGACATTGCATTTTTTTCACTGTTAGTTAATTATCAATCTTAAGTTCTGTATATTAAACAAATATTAAATTAGCTTTAAATTCTTGTCCAGTTTTAAATTTTGATTTGTTTTGCCATATTATTATTTTCTCATATTTGCCTACTCCACAGTATTTTCTGTGATTTTAATTTTTTTTTTTTTTTTTTTTTTTTTTTTTTTTTTTTTTTTTCCCTTCAAAACAGCCAAATCTATTTGCTGGACATTCCAACAATCATGCACCAGAGATTTGCTTTACATATTGCAGCTTATGACTTCTCAGATGAATTAATGCAATACATTCAATACTTTAAAAAAGTACCTTCTGTGCTGGGTTAATATTTTATGTACACTGCACAGTCAATATTTTTTCCTTTTACAGTCTCAGAGAAAAGCTTATCAGGGAATCACGTGGGGATTTTTTTTTTTTTTTTTTTTTAAAGATGACGGGTAACGGGATCTTAACCCTTGACTTGGTGTTGTCAGCACCACGCTCTCCCAAGTGAGCTAACCAGCCATTGCTATATAGGGATCCGAACTCATAGCTTTGGTGTTTTCAGCACTACACTCTCCCAAGTGAGCCACAGGCCGGCCCTCACATGGAGAATTTAATGGCCTTTGTGTGGATAGTGGTCAATTCCAGTTTAAGTTGTCAGAACTCTTAAAGGTCTACTATTTATCAGGTTATCAGATCCAGGTGATTTTACAGTTGATGCCTGCCTAATCTTTAAAGCACAAATACTTTTTGTATTCAAGTATTTTCAACATAAAAAAATTATGACAGTTTTAAAATATGTCCACAAATTCTTTTCATATCTTTACCTCAAAAGGTAGAGGCTAATTCCCCTTCTGAGTATGTGTCAGATTTAAGTGACTTGCTTGTGATAAATAGAATGTGGCAGGAGTAATATTGTTTGACTTTTGAAACTTGGTCACAAAAGGCATTGTGGCTTCTTCCTTTCACTCTTGCTTTCTCTCTCTGATTTCTCTTTCTGGGGAATAACAGCTGCCATGTTTTGAAGATAATCAATTAGCCCTCTGGAGAGGACTATGTGGTTAAGGAACAGAGGCCTGCAGACAATAGCCGGCTTGAACTTGCCAGGCATGTGAGCGTGCCATCTTGGAAGAGGATCCTCCAGCTGTTGTCAAAGCTTCAGATGACTGCAGCTATTCGTACTTACAGACATCTTGATTTCAACCTCAGAAAAGCCCCTGAGAGATAATTGGAGGGATAATTGGGTGGGGGACATGGAGTATAATCACAATTTGTAGTAATGGACATGCTGCCAGTTATGGTTATGGCCATCACATCTTAGGCACAAGTGGTGACAATTTGCTTTGTACTCCATGAATATTCATAACCAATAAAATTGGGGGGAAAAAAAAAGCCCCTGAGCTATAATCTCCCTAAATCACTCTCAGATTCCTAACCCACAAAAACTAAATGAGATATCAAATGCTCATTGATTTAAACTGCTCGATTTTGGGATCATTTGTTACATAGCAATATATAACTCCTAGAGATGGAGAGCCCCACAATTAAGTTTATGAAGGTACCATAATGTTAATGGCAAAATCTGATAAAGGTAAACCCAAAAGAGAAAAATCATAGAATGATTTTTGCTCTCTCTCTCTTGCTTCCTCTTGCCATGTGATCTGCTTGTACTGGATGGCTGCTTGCAGCTTTCCGCCATGAATAGAAGCAGCCTGAGTCCTGTGCCAGATGAAGCTGTCCCAGAATCATAAGGCAAATAAATCTCTGTTCTTTATAAATTTTTAAAAAAAAGATTTTTATGTATGAATAGAAAAAATGGAAAAAATAGGAATAAATCCATGTAAAATATTGACAAAATTTATCCACCATTATTTAAGATAATAATATAACATGACCAAATATTTGGCTGTGGAATGCAAGTATAGATCAACATTAAGAAATTTATCTATACTTCATCATAACAAGTTAAAGGAGGAAAAGCACATAATTTCCTCAGATGCCAAAAAGTGATTGAATAAAATTCTAAAATCTTTCCAATAAAAAATTTTTAAAACAGGGTTAGAAGGAAACTACATCAATGTAATAAAGACTACACATACAAACACACAAAAGCAAATATAAATCATGAACTACCAAAGCCATTTCTTTGACAAGGAGGAAAAGGACGATACCTGCAAGCATGTCTAATATGCCATATTACTTATTATTTTAGCTAACACAATATGATAAGCAACTAACAGAAATAGTTAATGGAAAGAATATCATTTTTATTTGCTATGATAATAATAATATGCAATGAAAATCAAGATAGTCCATTAAATAATGATTAGAATTAACAAAATTTGGTAAAATTAGCTACACACAAAATACATGTAAGTAATGAATTGCCCAATTATCCTCCCACACCCAGAATTTCCATCTATCAATATGCAACAGACAGCACATTCTTATGAAAATCAGCATTAGACTTGTAAGAATTTGTAGAGCGTAATTCAGTATCACACAGTGACCTCTCTTTTGTGTGGGATCATTTTTCACTCCACTTGAATTATTTTTAATTATATGAGTAATCCATCAATTCTAGCCATGACCTTTTAAATCTCACTTCTGCATTGTTCTCCCTGGTTGTCCTTCTGGTACTATGATTTGATGTATGTCAAATCACATCATTTTACTACATCCAGGTCTTTTAAACTCACTTTTACATTTTTCTTTCTGCATTTTGGATAATTTCTTAAGATCTGGTTATATAGTTCATTAAATTTCCTCTGCTGTTAAACCCATCTATAAGATTTTAATTGTTACAATTATATATGTATATTTATTTTCTAGAATTATGATGCTTTTTCAAATCTGTGTGGTCATTCTTTGTATTTGCTTAGTCCATCAATATATTTTGAAGTCTTTTTAAAAAAAAAAAAAATGAAAACCCCACAAAAACATTAAAGTTAGTCATTTGAAGTCTGTACCTGTTAATTCCCTCTTTTTACTTTTTGTTCCCATTGTCTGCTGCTCTTGTTCTTGGTCTTACTTCCTTGTTTTGTGGTGTGTTTGGTTAGTTTTGATTATGAAGCTATTCTTTTTTTTTTTTTTTTTTTTTTTTTTTTTTGGTATTTTACCTGTGCGGATTTGTTAAGATGTAAAATAAATTTTGTTCTTCCAGAGATGATATGTTTCTGCTTTTACCAGGTCTCAGGGGCACAAAACCAGCCTGGGATATCCCTAAACTAAATTCTCAGCTTGGGTGTTTTGAATCTGTAGTATGAATGCCAGGAACAAGTAAGAGCCAAGAAGACTTATAGTACAAAACTTAGTGGCAGACTCTACCCTGCTCAGCACCAAGATTCAGAACTGCCTTTCTTTGCAATCATCTGTGGTGTTTTTTGAGTGCGTGAGTGTGTATGTTTTTATTTGTAGTTCATCTTTCCCTGAGGAAGTAGCGTTTGGTCTGATGTCTCAGCTTCATCGGTAAAGATTTCTTATCAGGCTCCACAGCATGTTCAGGGTCCATATAACACCCTAAAAACCAAAGCTCAGGTTTGGGTGAAAGACAGCTACTGTAATCTTGGAGTTTCACACTGGGCATGTGCCTGGGCCTGAGTTCCTTACTTTCTTATCTGCTCCTTGCCTTTAAGAATTAAAAAAATACTATGCAGGCTTTTAGTTGTCCATTCAGGAACTAAACCTGCCATATTGTGAAAAATCTATTTTCATAATCCATGAACCCATGTTTGTTTGTGAGGGCGTGAGGACAGTAGTATTTCTAAATTCATTGTTCCCTGAGCCAATAACAACCTCTACCTAAAGTCTCCATTACAATCAGTACTCACTCCAAGATCATCCTCATCTACCTCACAATTTTCTCGTGGAAATCTGAACCACTGTTTCCTTTCCTCCTCGCCATTCCATTCCAGCTCCCCCGTCTCTTCTGGATTTATTTTCCCCATAAACAACAATTTCCCGGCAGCGGTTTGAAACCTTTCACGCCATCCTGCCTTGTGCAGCTGAGGTCACATCCTGCCAGAAGGGGTTTTCCTTCCCTTTCTACCACCTCCTGTCCTCGTTAGCACTCAAAGCCATCAGGAAAAGGGTGAACTATACTGAAAAAAGGGGGCTTCAATGCTGACAGAACTATTGCCTATCCACAGTTAGACACCTTAACGGATTGACTACTCGGCTTCTCCGCTTTTATCCAAAGGACTTCTTTCTGGCGCTGGCCTGTACGTCCAGAGAACTTTTAAGCTGAATGCTGCCAAAAGACTACAAACAAAACTTTCTGAGGAATTAAGTATAGTAACTGACAGGACTTGAAGGTGTCTCAAAGACTGCTTGTTTCCCTTTCTCCTCCCTCGGCGCCTTTTAGATAAAACAGGACCCGCCTCTTCCGCCCCTACTCGTCTGCTCAAAAGCATCAAACAGGAATGGGCTCAATTGCAAAGCAAGCAAACCAGTAAAACCTTTCGAATATTTCTCTGAAAACTCACATCGTCTTCAGCCTTGTTTCAGTAGCAACAGTCTAGATGGTAATTTTTTTTTTTTTTTTTAAGGAAAAAAGAAAAGCTCTGAGCAGAACGAAATTTGCCAGAGTATGCTCTTTCCTGCTCCGCGCGAGCAGTCATCCCCGAGTGTCAGATCAACTTCACGATCGACCTGGAGACCTACACACGGAAACGGAGCTGTACATTTAAAACTACATTTTTAGTTCATTGTAGTTACGATTTACTTATGGTGCAAAATGAGTTAATGATTCTATAAGACGTACGTGCCCACAGTGAGAGCCCAATATCTGATAGCTGTTACTATTTCCTGGTGGGTTTTTTTTTTTTTTTTTTTTTTTTGGAGGACTGGTAAAACTCTATAAATTGATAACATAGCTTTCAGTTTAGTATGAGAAGGCTGGCCGGTTTGCCCCGTTGTTTAGAGCGTGGTGCTGATAACACCAAGGTCCAGAGTTCAACCCCTCTACCGGCTAGCAACCGAAAAAGGAAAATAAATTTGGTACAAAATGTAAGTGTCCTTGGAATGAAAGGAGTACAACTCATTTATTGAAAGCATGCGTGGCTCTTAAAAGAGCCTTTGGGATTAGGTGTAAAGACGCTTACTTGACAAATTTACTTGGAGCTGGTGTACTTGGTGACGGCCTTGGTGCCCTCGGACACGGCGTGCTTGGCCAGCTCCCCGGGCAGCAGCAGGCGCACGGCCGTCTGGATCTCCCTGGACGTGATGGTCGAGCGCTTGTTGTAATGCGCCAGCCGCGACGCCTCCCCCGCGATGCGCTCGAAGATGTCGTTCACGAAGGAGTTCATGATGCCCATGGCCTTGGACGAGATGCCGGTGTCGGGGTGGACCTGCTTCAGCACCTTGTACACGTACACGGAGTAGCTCTCCTTGCGGCTGCGCTTGCGCTTCTTGCCGTCCTTCTTCTGCGCCTTGGTCACCGCCTTCTTGGAGCCCTTCTTCGGAGCAGGAGCAGACTTGGTAGGCTCAGGCATCGTTGCGCTAAAAATGATACACTACGTCAGACACTTGGGGAAATAATCACCGTGAGAGAGCCCACACTCATTTATAGATACGGTATTCAAATGAAGTTAATAAGATTTCGTTTCTGATTGGGTTAATTTAGTGTGTCGTCACAAATGCGAAGATACACGACCTTGATGGTCTATCTTTTCATTGGCTAGTTTGTTACTTTACTTTAAACCAATCAGAAAGCCCAGTCTAGGCTACCAGAAGCTACTATAAATACGCCTTTTCAAGGCTAAGTGCTGTGTGTGTTGCACAGAGCACGCAATTGTAAGACAGTAGATTTAGGTTGGTGTGTTGATCTACCTATTCTCACGCAATCCCGCGGAAGAGAAGCGCATTATCCCGCTCCTCCCTTCAGCTAACGTTTCACAGGAACCTCAGCAATATGCTGGGCTGCTTTCTCCCTTCCCTGTCCAGAAGTTCTGGGATCATGTCCCCAAGTATCCACGAGCTAATAAAACCCAGAAGTGGCACATTAAAGAGCTAAGTCTTTCCTGTACAGGGTTTTAATTACAAAGTTGGCCAATAACCGAAGAACGGCCCCGGGGAAACTTTCCAAACACCTAAATCAGGGTGCACGATATACTGCGGACAGTTCTGGAAACAAGACATTAAAAGAAATGCTACTTTACTTTCTCTGCCCATAGAAGCGCCTTGGCTACACCCCACGCATATTCTATTACTGAAGCCCACTCCCTCCCCCTCCCGGGAGGCCCGCCCCTCCGTCGCGTTTTCCGCCGAGCCACGCCCCCTCAGTGTGCAACAGCTCTTTTTACTGAGATCGGTGGGTGGCTCTGAAAAGAGCCTTTGGGTTGTCGAACTTCTAAGCAGTTGGCCAAAGGAGCTTCCTATTTCTTCTTGGCTGCCGCCTTCTTTGGCTTGGCTGCCTTGGGCTTGGCGGCCTTTGGCTTAGCCGCCTTGGGCTTCACCGCTTTGGCCTTCGCTGGGCTCTTGGGCGCCTTCTTCGGCTTGGCTGCTTTCGCCTTTTTCGGGCTTTTCGCTTTTTTGGCTCCTGCAGCTGCGGCGGGCTTCTTGGCCTTCTTTGGGGTCTTCTTGGCGCTCTTTTTAGGAGTGGCCGCCCCTGTCGCCTTTTTGGCCTTCTTTGCCGCTCCTGCGGGCTTCTTGGCCTTAGCTGCGCCTGCTTTTTTAGTTCTAGGCTTGGCTTCCCCGGAAGCCGCCTTCTTATTGAGCTTGAAAGAACCGGAGGCACCGGTGCCCTTGGTCTGCACCAGGGTGCCTTTGCTCACCAGGCTCTTGAGGCCAAGCTTGATGCGACTGTTGTTTTTCTCCACGTCGTAGCCAGCAGCTGCTAACGCTTTCTTCAGCGCGGCCAGGGATACCCCACTGCGCTCCTTAGAGGCAGCGACAGCCTTGGTGATGAGCTCGGACACCGGGGGACCAGACGCTTTGCGCTTCGCAGCACCTGCGGACTTACGAGCCTTCTTCTTGACGGGTGCCTTCTCGGCAGGTGCCGGAGCAGCGGGCGCGGCGGGCGCTGTCTCGGACATACTGAAGGCGGATTTGGGGAGAGCAATTCGAGCCGGAAGCTGAGGCACTGGCCGGGACTCGGGCCGCGGCGCTGCGCCCGCCCGTTTATATAGGGCGGAGCTGCGCCGTGATTGGTGCGCTGTCCAGCCCGCCTCGCTGGCAGCCGCAGAGTGTCCTCTCGGATCCCGAGTTGTGTTTGTTACACCTCAAAAAAAGCCCAAAATATCAAAATACTCTACACCAAATTGCCCGATTTTTCTCAGATAATGATCCCCGAAGCCTCAAGCTTCACACAGACCTGAAATTATAAGGAAAGCACAAAGCCTTGTGCCAAAAACTAGCAATATTTCCCGCCGTGCTCGGCAAATTTCAACTCAGAGAAACAAAACTTTCTATTTTCTTTGTAAATTATAAACCCATCTTTAACTGTGGAGTTTTCTGACCCCTCAAATATGATTCTCCAAGTGGTTAGCTTCTTATATGTCAAAAGAACATGCCACTGGCATTAAGGTTTTTATTACAAATCTGCACTTAAGTGAGGGAAGTAACACAGGCTCCTCGGAGAGTCCTGCCTATTGAGCCGAGGGCATTTGAGTTCATCAAACTGATTTAGTATAATGCCAAACAAATTATTGCCCATTTGGGTTTAAGTTTTGGACCCCTGGACATCAATCTATGCAGCCATGGTTTTATTTCTGTCCGCTGCATTTGAGTTTTAAAACATTTCCTTAGGATAATTCTTTTCCTTTCTGCTCCCAAGGGTTGGGGGCGGGGCTGTTGCTTCCCTCTTCCTCTGGACAACTGCTCCATGAGTTAAGATACCTTGAATTTAGGGTATTTGGGAAGGTAGGGGAGTCCAAAACATACTCGGAGTACAGAAATGAAAAAGGATTAATTTTCAAGTAACACGCAAATGGTGTCCATAAAGTCACTGAAAGTGGAAGTGCACTTTACTCTGAGAAATTTTTCTGCAGCCTTGCTGAGTTCTTTTGGCATATGCTTCAAGACCAAATTGTAATATACTAGTTAGAGCTGAAATTCAAGCATCTGATCATATGGAAGCATAAATGGGAAGTACAAATTGGAACATATCTATTCGAAACTCAGATCCTGTTATTACTGAATAGTTGATGAATGACTACTCCACCCACCATGTATGGTTTCAATCACCAGCAAGTTATGGCCCAGTGGTTCCCAGAGCTCCATAAAAAAAAGTGAAGGGCCAACCCATGGCACACTTGGGAGAGCGTGGTGCTGACAACACCAAGTCAAGGGTTAAGATCCCCTTACCGGTCATCTTTAAGAAAAAAAAAATAAATAAATAAATAAATAAATAAATAAATTTAATGCTGAATTTGATATAAAAGCGATGTAAATTATGAAGATTTCTTAAACCTTAATGCGTGAACATTTTCAATTTAATTGGTGCATACTAGTGCAAAATAAATGTGCCCTTTGGTATTTATTAAAATGAAAAGGTGGGTGGATGAAGCTCCAAAACAGACTAAGGAAAAGTGATCATGTGGGCATTCGATTCTGGAATGGTGGAAATATACCCATTTTTAATGGCAACCAAAATGACTCCCGTAAATGGCTGAAATTTGCATAACACATAAAAGTGTGCTTTCAAATGTCTCATTTTGTTCTATATTTTCCTCACTGCTTTCAACTTGGAGGGACTTAAACTCTCCAAATTCTGCATTCTATCAACTCACCTCTATTTGTCTCCTTGGTGCAGTGTGTTTTCCAATAAGTAAAACTATTTGACTTAAAGAAGACATCAAGGACTGGCCACTATTAACTCAAGCATTCATCTGACACTTTACCAAGATGAAATAGGCTTCACTTTCTTATTGATCTGCCAGCTAGACTGGCTATAGCAGAACTATGAGTGTGCACATGCATTTTCATGCGTATATTCCAAATATAAATTCCAAGGCCTTGTGCTAGATGATTCTGATCTAAAATCTCTCCAGTGGGTCTGCAGAATTTGAATATTTAACAAGTTTCTTATGCCACTCACATGCACAGGTAAGTTTGGGTACCATTTCTGTTCTCACTGGAGGTGTCTCACAGGGTAAAATTGTTTCCGGTCATGTGATTGTTCCCAGGATTTCTGGGCTTGCCTGTGAGACCTTGGAAAAGATGTCCATGCTGAATATGAACATATGCTGGCAGGATGGGGGCAGCAGCAATCCAATTCTGACTTCCTTGGATTCACTATATTCATCTGACCGGTCACTATAGTGGGCTTGAGAAGGAGAAAGGCAAGTAAGTAAAGCTAAGCATCATCTGATTTACTATTTTTCATTTGCAGAGGGTGGACTGAACCTTGGCTGCCTGTGTACTACTTGAATCCCCTAGAATAGCGTCTCCACTGCTTATCCCATATTCTCATTCTTGGGATAATAATTATCCTTTCCATTTATTGGCTACTGTGTGCCACCTGCATTTTCACCTAATCAATGCAACAATCCTCTGCTATAGATAGTATTCCCATTTTACAGGAGAAGACTTGCAAAGGTTAAGAAATTTTCCTGAGAAGACTGTTGGTAAGAGTTACATCCCAGATTCCAGCTCATATTGGTCTGACTTCAAAGGTTTGAACAACCATTAAAATTTGTAAAAATTGTAGGATGACTATGGTTAGCAGTTTGTTTGTTTGTTTATTTGTTTTAAAGATGACCAGTAAGGGGATTTTATCCCTTGACCTGGTGTTATCAACACAACACTCTTCCAAGTGAGCCACGGGCCGGCCCCTAGCAGTTAAGTTTTATATATTACATAATAACTAGAGCACAGACTTTGAAGTTTTTGCCATAAAAAGAATGATAAATGCATGAGGTGATGGATACATTAAATACTGTGAACTAATGCTTGTACAACATATATATGTGTCAATACATCAGACTGCATCCCATAACTGCAATGTGTCAATCAAAATATATTTTTTCAAAAAGTTGCGAAAACTTTTTAGTAATGCAAGACCAAAATATTGTTGTTTTTCATGAGTTAGAACAGAATATAAAGTACCAGATGTCAATGCATATACTTTCAGTGATATACATAACTCCTTGTGTGCTAGGCTCCCATGTAAAAGGCATTTTTTAATGTTCAGGCTCATAAATCCAAAGTGGGTAGTATGTGAATTTCTTGAGTTTTTGTAGTCATAAAATATTCTCAAGTGTGTCATTCTTTAATGAGCTAAGAAAATAATTTCCTATTATTGATATTTTGTAAGCCTCTACAGAACCCGGAGTGATGGAAAATGGGGGGCACTCTGATAATTTCCATTTTGGACATCATAGCAACTGTGCTAAGATGAACAATGTGATTATTAGAGAAGTTGAAAGGAAAGAGAGGCTTGTGCTTCATTCGTTTTACTCTGCAATTTTGGATTCCAAGTGCTTAATTCTAGACTTTGCTATTTTAATCGGATTTTACCATGATTGCTTTATTAAATACAGAGTTTGGGGAAGAGGTGTTTTGTACTAGACAGGGGCCTAAGATAATAGTATTATCTTAGACATTGTTTTTATTTTTATTCAAGCCAACGATTAAAACTGTGGGTTGTAGGGCCAGCCTGTGGCTCACTTGGGAGAGCGTGGTGCTGACAACACCAAGTCAAGGGTTAAGATCCCCTTACCAGTCATCTTTTATAGCTGTCAACACCAAGTCAAGGGTTAAGATCCCCTTACCAGTCATCTTTTATAGCTGTCAACACCAAGTCAAGGGTTAAGATCCCCTTACCAGTCATCTTTTATAAAAAACAGAACAAAGCAAAAAAATATGGGCTGCATACCCAGGGTTATTCATTACAGCATTGTTTGGAATTGTAAAATATTGGAAACAACCTTAATGTCCCTACATAAGAGAATGGTTTAACAAGCTAGGGCACATTCACACAATAAATTAGTATGCATCTACCAAAATGACTGAGGAATATCTTTATAAATCAATATGAATTCCAGGATAAACATTTAAGTGATAAAGCAAAGTGCAAAAGATACCCTTCATGAGAGAAAGAAGGGGATATAAGAAAACACACAAGTTTTTGTTCATTTGTGCAAAAGAAATACAGAACGGATAACCCAAAAGGTAAAGAGATTGGTTAGCTATGGGAGGTTGGTGAGAAAGAAAGGAATGGAAAGAAGGGGGAATGTGAAAAGGGAAGCAGAGATGAGGAGGAAGTGACACTTTTTTTTAGACAAGTGGTTGATTACAAGGCTATGGCAGTGAAAATACTAGTACACAATGGGTCTGGAACATCTTGTAGTGCCAAAATATAAGGAGATGATTTAAAAGAAAAAAAAGAGGTGGAAATTTGTTGAAAAAAACCAGCAAGCCAATCTGAAGGATCTCCTAATAGCCAAAGCTGGTACTATTTGAGCAACAAAATTTTTTTAAAAAATGATAATATTGAATTTTAACTCATAGATTAAAATATATATCCATAAAGAAATAAGGAGAAGGGATAACCCTTTCTTACAATATAATTCTAATTAATAAATGTAGAAGAAAAAAGGGAAATAGAAAATGACTATTAGGCAAACACTATAGTGATCTTGTTACAGACAAAATCCAACAATAGATGCTAAAATTAATGGGCAAAAGTTTAAGGAGAGGCAGTATTTTTATCGTCTCCAAAGTACCTATTAACTACAAAGGGAAAGGTAATAAGTCTACAGTGAATAATCTCAGTAGACACCACCTTAACTAAGTCAGTAAGGTAAACATCACAAATTAATAAGATAAACATACATCATAAACTTCTTGCATTGAGAAGGACACTTCATCATTTTGGTGGTATTTCCTGGCAAAAATACATGAACTCACTCCAATGATGAGAAAACATTGCACAAATTCAAATCAAGGGACTCTTGATTTGATCAGCATGCTCCAAAAGTGTGAAGGTCATAAAAGACAAGGACAGACTGCAAAACTATTATAGACTGGAAGAGACTAAGGAAAAATAATAATTAAATTCAATGTGGAATTATGAATAGGATCCTGGAACAGAAAAAAAGACATGAGTGAAAAAAATTGTGAAATTTGAATAAGGTCTGAAGTTTAG